AAAAAAAAAAAAAAAAAAAAAAAGAAAAGAAACCCCAATTATACCTAAACAGTACATTGACAATTACCTTTTGTAATTCACTGTGCCTGGAATAAGCATGGTAAAAAAATTCTCAGGGGACCTCCCTGGTGGCACAGTGGTTAAGAATCCGCCTGCCAATGCAGGGCACACAGGTTCAAGCCCTGGTCCAGGAAGATCCCACATGCCGCAGAGCAACTAAGCCCATGTGCCACAACTATTCAGCCTGCGCCCACGAGCCACAAATACTGAAGCCCACGTGCCTGGAGTCCGTGTTCCACAACAAAAGAAGCCACCATAATGAGAAGCCTGCACACCGCAACGAAGAGTAGCCCACGCTCTCCACAACTAGAGAAAGCCTGTGTGCAGCAGCGAAGACCCAACACAGCCAAAAATAAATAAATAAATTTATGGAAAAAAAAGAAAGAAAGAAATTCTCAGTTAAATCTTAACAAAGTCTCTATTTGGAGGTTCTGATGATTTAGGCCTGTTTTCCTACATAACTAATACCTCTAGATTGTTAGAGAAGTCCTCTGGAAAACAGGTTAACAGTTTCTTAGTAAAACATCATGTGCAATTATTAGCAACTGAGCAGTCAGAAATACACAAAGGAATAGCTTGAGATTTTTGCATGTTACTTAATAAAACCCTCTCCAATAATGAAGAAATTACAATAAGGTAGAAAGAAAGAGTTTTTTTTTTTTTTTTTTTTGCTGTACGCGGGCCTCTCACTACTGTGGCCTCTCCCATTGCGGAGAACAGGCTCCGGACACGCAGGCCCAGCGGCCATGGCTCACGGGCCCAGCCACTCCGCGGCACGCGGGATCCCCGTTCGCGCAGGCTCAGCGGCCATGGCTCACGGGCCCATCTACTCCACGGCACATGGGATCTTCCCGGACCGGGGCACGAACCCGCGTCCCCTGCATCGGCAGGTGGACTCTCAACCACTGCGCCGCCAGGGAAGCCCCAAGACCCATTTATGATAAAGGCAAATCCTCTTCTCCCAAAATAAATTAGGAACATAGGTTAGACACATTATTTTATAGTACCCAACATAACGATGTACAAAAAATAAAAGGAAGCTAATTATGTCATGATTAAAGCTGAGTTTTCATCCCTGGCTCACTTACTCATCCAGTGTGTTAACAGAAGCAAGTCACTTAATCACTTCAGATTTCTATTTACTTCCTGTAAAATAATGGAGTTTGGCTTCCCTAGTGGCACAGTGGTTAAGAATCCACCTGCCAACGCAGGGGACACGGGTTCAAGCCCTGGTCCAGGAAGATCCCACGTGCCGCAGAGCAACTAAGCCTGTGTGCCACAACTACTGAGGCTGTGCTCTAGAGCCCGCGAGCCACCACTACTGAGCCCACGTGCTACAACTACTGAAGTCCGCGTGCCTAGAGCCCGTGCTCCACAACAAGAGAAGCCACTGCAATGAGAAGCCTGCTCACTGCAACTAAGCGTAGCCCCTGCGCACAACAACGAAGACCCAATGCAGCCAAGAATAAATAAATTAAATAAAAAAACAAAAAAAAAAACGGAGTTGAAGCTTTCATGATGATGAACCTTTTTTTTTTCTTTGTGGTACGCGGGCCCTCTCACTGTTGTGGCCTCTCCTGTTGCGGAGCACAGGTTCCGTTCGCGCAGGCTCAGCGGCCATGGCTCACGGGCCCATCTGCTCCACGGCACATGGGATCTTCCCGGACCGGGGCACGAACCCGTGTCCCCTGCATCAGCAGGCGGACTCAACCACTGCGCCACCAGTGAAGCCAGATGGTGCACCTTTTAACTCTAACATGGAGCTAATACTGTCCCTTCTCCATTTGTCAATAAATAACATCACATATTCTTGATTAAATTTTGTACTTGACGTTAATAAAACATAATCCTGGATTTAAAAAGTTGTTTCTTTTAATGAAATCCCTAAGACTGAAAAGTTCTGGCTCCTTGCTAATATTTTCAAGAGAAAATTTAAATGAGCAAGAGCGTTACTAATTCTTACCTTGTTTGGCATCATAACAAGCTGCTGACCTTTACAAATAGATCCTGATTCTAGCTTTCCCAGGACCACAGTGCCCATATCCTGTTTAAATTTAAAATGAAAAACCAAATGTCAGACTTCTAGTACTACTCTACAGCAGTTCAACAACCCAAAGTGAAATCTTGCAGGGCTTACTCACAAAAGAAAATCTTTAGCTCAAGTGGTAGAATGCTTAGGATTAATCTCAAACACAGGTAAATACTCTATATCTGTGTCATAAGCATATGTATAATTATAATACTAATAAATAAGTAGGCTTAGGATTTAAAAAGAAAGCACACTGCAGGAGACAGGGCAGAATTTTATGTTTGAAGATCTGAATTATTTGTTCAAATTCAGGTTCTCTCAAAAATAACTGAGACTCTTCTCTCTTTTATAAAATTGGAAAAATAACTTGTTCAAGAAATTTAACATGAAGCTAATCAAAGAACGAAGTGTCTGAGAAGAGGGCAAAATAGTACATATTGATAGTGCAGTACTTAAAAACCTACTTAAAAATAGTGAAGCTTGTTTTTTTAAAGATTAACATCCAGTTGGTTGATGAGGCTATGGGAAAACTAGCACTCATATACTGCTTGCTGGTGGTCATGTAAGTTAGCACTGTATTCTGGAAGGCTGTTTGTCAGTATCCATCAACGTTAATACACAAACCCTTCCAGCAATTTTACTTATAGGAGTCTCTCTCTAAAACTGATCATTGGCTCACTGAAAAATAGCTGAAATAAACTAAGTTTGTTGATTAAATTATGGTCTATCTATATCACTGAATAATATATAACCATTAAAGAAGAGACATCTATGTTATGTTGTTAATTATTAAAGTTATTTCATAATTTAAAACAATTTATCACCTCCCATAAAACCCAACTTCTTGAACATTTTGGGTACCTACCTTGTACTTATCCACAATCGGCAGCCTGATTGGTCCATCAACTGATCTATTGAAGTTTGGCAAATTATCCAGATATGGAATAAATGGTAATCCACTGAGAACATAACAATATCCATTAAAGAGAGTCAACATAAATGTTAAAGTTTTAAGAAATTACATGACTCTAACTTTATACAAAAAAAAGTGGTTTTAACAATATTTCCATTCTACCCATGTAGTCTTCTCATTCAACCTTTTTATTATCCAGTTCATTTCACTTATTCCTCAGAAAATTAAAAAAAAAACAAAATAGCTCAATATAATGAAAAAGCTTCCCCATAAACTTATTTTATTAAAATTGAGAAAAGTATTTTATGGCAAATAGCCCACATGTAATAAAATGACTCCACTCTATTACTTAATTTTTATGGAGTTTTCCAGCTCTGAAATCAGGATTCTATAAAATATTAATAGTTTCCCATTTAAAACTACAGTATATGGATTGGGAGGCTTAATATTGCCAAGATCGCAATGCTCCCTGCAAACCAATCTACAAATTCAATGTAATCCTTAGTAAAATCCCAGATGCCTTTTGGCAGAAACTGATGAGCTGATCCTAATATTCATATGGAAATTCAAGGGACCCGGAACAGCCAAAATAATTTTGGGGAAAAAAATAACAAAATTCAAAGACTCACACTTCCCAATTTAAACACTCATAAAGCTAAAGTAATCAAGACTTTACCTTACAAAAAATTAATCCAAAATGAAACACTCCCCTAAGAGCTTCAACAGGCTTAAATGAAAATAACAGGGCTAACTCCTTATGACCGGATTAGGCAACACTTCCCTAGGCTTGACACCAAAAGCACAATTAAGAAAAAAAATAAACTAGACTTCATCAAAATTAAGACCTTTTGTGCTTCAAAGGACACCATCAAGAAAGTAAAAAGACAGCCCACAGAATGGGAGAAAATACTTGTAAATCACATATCTGATAAGGGACTTGTATCAGGTGAGTAAAGTAGCCTTAACAACTCAATAACAAAAAGACAACCCAATTAAAAGACAAAGGTCATGGTATTTTTAATGCCAAGGTTACAGTCAATATTTTCTTAAATTACTTATTAAGACACAAACTTTTAAAAAGGTTACTTACATGTACCAAGGACAGAAATCTGATTGCTCTTTAAGATTTGCTCCAGTCAGTCCTGAGCAGGGCATGAAGTGAATGTCCTTTTTGGGATTGAAGCCAACTTTTTTCAAAAATGGCACTAGTTTCTCTTTACATTCTTCATATCTATTAATATTTATAAATAATTATAATGTAAAGCAACTGAACTCTAGTTTCAACACTACACAAATCAAGGTTTAGAAAAACCCCAGGGGAAAAAAAGCATACAGTAACAAAACCATCCTTTATTCCACTAACATGTCTATAAAAAAAAAACAAAACAGTAAGACATCCAAACTTACCTCTCATTGCTCCAATTTACTGTTGGATCATCCATCTTATTAATAAGCACAATTAAGTGTTTTACACCTGCTGTCTTTGCCAACATTGCATGTTCCCTTGTCTGTCCTCCTTTTTCAAATCCAGTTTCAAACTCTCCTTTCCTGGCAGAGATGACCTATTCCAAGAAATTAAACAGTTTATTCTTACACATTCAGGTACACTCTTCTGGCAATAAAACATCTTTCCTTTCAGTTTTATCAGAAGCTTCTTCCAAGAAAATATAAGTAAATTAGTTATAACATACATACTTTTGAACATCACAATGTCTAAATGCTTTAAGATTTTGGTAAATGTTTCTTGATTCCCAATTTTCCAAAATCTAGTGTGCCTTTATATTTTAAAATTCAAATACGTATGTGATTTAGTGCTAGTACACTGACCACCCCCTGCCAAAAAAATTGCAAAATGACTGAAGACCTTAAAACGGATAATTTCTTATTCATTTTTGTACCCACAGTACATTTATTGACTACAAAATGGATTAGGCTTGGCAGTCAGTGGACACTAATTTCTGGCACAGTAAGAGGTAATAAAGGGCAGAGAAAAACTGGAACATTTTCATGAGTAAATCAAATTATGAAGATTTACTGGGCAGATAGAGAGACAAAAGTGAAAATCGTGACTATGTATATATTATAATTCACTGTAACCTAAATTCTAGCTTTTAGAAGGTAAATTCAAATGTTTACATTTTAGGATTTCCCTGGTGGCGCAGTGGTTAAGAATCCGCCTGCCAATGCAGGGGACACGGGTTCAAGCCCTGGTCTGGGAAGATCCCACATACCATGGAACAACTAAGCCTGTGTGCCACAACTACTGAGCCTGCTCTCTAGAGCCCGCGAGCCACAACTACTGAGCCCGTGTACCTAGAGCCCGTGCTCCTCAACAAGAGAAGCCACTGCAATGAGAAGCCCACGCACCACAACTAGAGAAAGCCTGCGTGAAGCAACGAAGACCCAACGCAGCCAAAAAAAAAAAGTTTACATTATAAGTTGGGCTGTTAACAAATACACAGATGAATTGGAAACGTCTTTCCTTACCAGTACAGCCAAATCTGCTTGAGAAGCACCACCAATCATATTTGGGACAAAACTCTTGTGGCCAGGGGCATCTAGAATTGTAAAATGCTTCTTTTCCGTTTCAAAATAGGCACGACCCACTTCTACTGTTTTACCCTTGTCTCGTTCTTCCTGATTTGTGTCTAAGGCCCAAGATAAGTACCTGAAATAATTTTAAAATAAGAATAATACTGGTAAGAACATGAAAGTTTTAAAAATATTCTTCTACCAACATTTAAATCATGAACAAGACTGGGTAGAAATAAAAATTAAATGATTAAAACTTGTGTTCTTGTGATTCAAACACTCAGTGCTTTTATATATATCCAGTGTCAATTATATATTCTATAAGCAAACATTATGTATGAGAACAAGCTGACAACATACAAAGAAAGATTATTTAGTACCAGTGCCAATATCACCATGAGTTAAGTAATAAGTTCCTTTATATTTCATTTTAAAAATCATCTAGCACAAAGTATAATACAAATAAGGCTGTCTAATGGTATCTTTCAAAAGTAGCGGCCACTAATACACCATTTGGGAGCAATGGTTACTTGCTAAAAATTAAATTTACATAGTGAAGAAATATCGAAATAAACCAACTATAACAGTAGGTGTTAATTTAGATGACATCATCTGTATTTCACAGTAAGTAATCCATTTTTTCGTATTATACTGATTAGGATTTTTTCCCTTAACACAGAAATACAATTTAAAAAAAAAAAGACCATCAATGTCCTATTTAGATAAAGCTTGTTAAAAAAAATAAGTTAGAAAGAAGAAAAAAGCTGACTCTTTCTCTCACCATGCAAAGGCAACCACTGTCAATAATTCCGTCTATTCTTTTTTCATTATTCACATAATGATCATACCCTAAAGTACTATTATGTTACCTGCTTTCTCCCCAAATTCCACTGTAACATCAGTTCTATTTCTGGTTACTATAAATTCTATAAATGAAATTTTAGTGGCCAGGTTATGACTTAATTAAATAGATATTTTATAATTTATCCCACAAGTCTCCTATTATTATCCTATATGTTTGGATATTGCCAAATTTTCTCTGTGTAAAGTTATGAAGTCATCAGGAACTGATCTACTAGGTAGTATGAGGGGAAGGGAAACTTTTCCTTTGTTATGACACCATTTTAGACCTCATGAACTTACATCTTAGTAGACTACAAAAGCATTAAGTAGGCAGAGTTTCCTTAAAAGTAATTTAGAGGGCTTCCCTGGTGGCGCAGTGCTTGAGAGTCCGCCTGCCGATGCAGGAGACGCGGGTTCGTGCCCCGTTTCGGGAAGATCCCACATGCCGCGGAGCGGCTGGGCCCGTGAGCCATGGCCACTGAGCCTGCGCGTCCGGAGCCTGTGCTCCGCAAATGGGAGAGGCCACGACAGTGAGAGGCCCGCATAACGCAAGAAAAAAAAAAAAAAAAAAAAAAAAAAGTAATTTAGAGTGTCATAAAAGTTTACCAAGTTTCTCTGTTTTTTTCTTTAGCTTCTCTTTCATATTTCTCAAGTGTCCTTTTATCAACCATTCCAGTCAAATACCTGAAAATGTTGAAAGAAAAGAGAAACAACATTTAGTTACTCACAAATTATTCAGTTGTGAAGTGAGGAAGCCTTTAAACCTCTTTTGAGGGGAATTTGAACTCCACAAAAAGCCACTTTAAAGTACAAGTACCACTGGGGTAGATGCTGAATTAAAGTTTCAGTGGAAAAGATATTTACAATCTCAAATTACTTCCCCCAAGATAATGGGGAAAAAAATAACTTTCCAGTGGAGAATTCTGGCAGACAACACCTTAACTAAATAATCATGGCTGTTATCACCAGTAATAAATAAAACATACTGAATATTGCTATTTTGTGCGCCCTGATAGGATGCTCTGTTAAGAGCACAACATGCCTCTGTGACATTCTTATCCAAAATGCATACCCTCAATCTAATTGTTAACATCAGTCAAACCCAAATTGAGGAACATCTCATAAAATAACCAAATAACACTCTTCAAATTATGAAGGTCATGAAAGACAAGACTGAGAAAATGTCACAAGTTGGAGGAGACTAAGGAGACGTAACAATTAAATGCAATGTGGAACTCCAGAACAGAAAAAAACGACACTGGTGGAACAACTGGTAAAATTCAAGTAAGATCTGTAGTTTAGTAAATAGTACTGTGTCAGTGTTAACTCCCTAGTTGTGATGATTGTACTATGTTTATTTAATATGGTAAAATTAGTTGTATAGCAACTCTGTAGTTTTTGCAACCTTTCTGTTAAGTCTAAAATTATTTCAGAATAAAAGTTTAAAAAAGCAAATTAAATACTGTATAAAAGAAAATAATTCCAACGGTTGTCCAAGCAATTATGTCTTACTAATACATTTCAATATTTAATATTTTATGTTATGTTATGTTATGTTATTTATTTATTTATTTTTGCGGTGCGCGGGCCTCTCACTGTTGTGGCCTCTCCTGTTGCGGAGCACAGGCTCCGGACACGCAGGCTCAGTGGCCATGGCTCATGGGCCCAGCCGCTCCGTGGCATGTGGGATCTTCCCGGACCGGGGCACGAACCCAAGTCCCCTGCATCGGCAGGCGGACTCTCAACCACTGCGCCACCAGGGAAGCCCTCAATATTTAATATTTTAAAAATATTAGTCAAAATGAGATTATAAATTTTAAAATAATTCTTTAGTAATACCTAACTGCTTCCCTTGACTCAATCCAAATCAAATCCTGTTCTTAGCTTTAGTCTCTATGTGTTGTTCTCTGCAGAGTCATCTACAGTGCATACTTCTAACCATTTTGGTATAGAATATTGGTGAAATGCCAATGAAAATTCCAGCCCATAAGCAAAAAATATACACTCTCCTAAAACACAACATCAACTGGGCCTGTCACTTCCTTCCACAGAGCCTTAGGTAATAAGGATTCCTGTGTAACGGCCTGCTTTAGGGTCTGTTGTGGAAATTTTCAAAAGTAATTGGCAAGATTACTGATTAAGATTACTTAACAAGGCAAGACAATGAAGATATGCCCTCTGGATCCTCTGATGACACAGCTTAAAGAAATGAGTCTAATTTAGAAGAGATTAAAAAGACATTTTAATTATTTTTCAATTCTAGAACACATCACTAAAAGTCAACCATGGCATTTTCATACCTAGATACCTTTCTATATGTGTGATAATAAAAACTATTCAGCATGTTAGCCAGACTGTCTTTGATTAAATCCACATATATTCAAGAAGTTGATGAATGAGGAAAAACCAGTTCCCTGGATTCATTATTCCCAAGAAAATCATATTTAAAGCAGACTAAGATTTCTTATAATCTAGGGTTCTATATTTTTATACACAAATCTAAAAGACAGCTATTAGAAATACATTTAATTAATGTTCCATGAGAGTCTTAAGATATTTAACAAAAAATATACTTACATTATTTGTCCTCCAATGGTTGACTTGCCAGCATCTAAAAAGTTAACAACATCATCAACAATAGGCAAACCACAGGTGTAATAAAAACAAAACAAAACACCATCACTATATAGGAATACAACTAAAGGTCCGTTTAACATCATAATTACAGCTTGCAAAAGCAACTGCAATGATAGGAATTTGGGTCATAAGCTCTGGTTAGTCACCTTCTCCCTTTGAAGCTAAGACCCCCTGCAGCTCTGCAGTGACTTAGCGCTACTTTACTGATAAAGAAAGACTTTAACAGATTGCTCCTTGACCTTCTGCAGCAGCAACAGAATATGAATTACCCAAGAGGAGCCTGAAGGAGAACAAAAGTAGCCAAAGATCCATGAACTGCATTTAGGTAGTCTGCTTTTTCACTTTTAGCCAGTATAGGTGTTCCTTTACAAATTTCAAAGGAGTTCTTGCTACTAAAAAAAAGTAGAACCGTGTATCATCAGGGCAAGGCAGAGATAAGATAAAGGGCCACATAATTCCCTTATTTTCTTCTCACTTCTCTCTGATAAGTGAGATTGGCAGAGAATATCTGAATAAATGAAATAGGGTTTTGTTTTGTGTGCTAAACCAGCAACCTGACAACATCCAGAAGTTACTCCAAATTATTCATTTTTTGCACACACAAAATTATACTACCTAGTAAAGTTAATACTGCAAAATCAACTGAAGTTCACATAAAAAATATACGTACATTTTTTATATTAATTAACAGATGTCATAATATGTTGAGCCATAATCAGTGGTCTATAGACCAGTTATTCATTACATACAAATATACTGAAGCTTATTTTCTTCCAGCTTCCATGCCATCACAACCTTCAGAAATAAAGCACTGGCAATGTCTTGCCAGCTAAAAAAAAAATCTATTGAGTTAAAAATCAAGACATTTTAGGGGTTCCCTGGTGGCGTTGTGGTTGAGTCTGCCTCCCGATGCAGGGGACTCGGGTTCGTGCCCCGGTCCGGGAAGATCCCACATGCCGCGGAGCGGCTGGGCCCATGAGCCATGGCCACTGAGCCTGTGCGTCCGGAGCCTGTGCTCCGCAACGGGAGAGGTCGCAACAGTGAGAGGCCCGTGTAACACCGAAAAAAAAAAAAATCAAGACATTTTAGATTAATTTAGTTCAGTTTCACGAAACACTTCCAAGTAGCTAAATAAGATGTTCTATGTTTGATGTACCCAATAACTTTGGTCATTTCTTATCACTGCTATGAGTACAACTTACCTACATGCCCAATGAATACTACATTTACGTGTTCTTTCTTAGGAGCACCTGGTGGTGCAACCACAGATTTAGGTTTTGGTATTTCCTCTTCCTCCTCCATGATTTCCTGGGCACTTTCCTCTGTGGGCCTTCCATCTCCCAAAGAACCACCCCCTGGCTCTGCTTCACTTATTTCTTCTTTGTGCTCCCATGATTCTTCTGGGGACATTTCTGTCTCCCCGTTTTCTACTGAAATAAGACATTTTAGCTTAGTATTCCGAAAAACGTTTATCATCTGTACTTTAAAACACAGATGCTTTCAAATAACAAATAGAACTTAACATATTCAGTTCCATTTCCTAACCTCTAGTGACACACAAGCAAGAAAATCTCTTTCACAACAGAAACGGACAAGCTAGCCTCCTCACTGCTGACATCAGAGCTCTGACTCAGAGACTAGAAGAGACTATTTTAACGTAGCTTCATCTTCATAAGGACAAACAAAACATGAACAGCAGATCTAACATTCCTAACAGCCCAGTTATTCCATCGTCAAGATGTCCTGACAGTAGAAGAAAGGGGAAGGTCCAAATAAGAATACAAAAAAGTGTGAAAAGATTTAGATCTTTTCTTTTCCTCTGCAAGTAACAGAACTTTGATATCGACGTTATTAATCACCTTGGGAATATGAAACCCTTAAGGGTAAGAACATTACAAAAAGGAAGAAAATTTTCACAAAGTAAATGGATCAAGTACAACTATTCAAACTGACTTTTGCATTTCCTCCATTCAATTCTTTTATATTTGCCATCAATAAATTTATCATGGGGCTTCCCTGGTGGCGCCAGTGGTTGAGAGCCCGCCTGCCGATGCAGGGGACACAGGTTCATGCCCCGGTCCGGGAAGATCCCACATGCCCCGGTAGCGGTTGGGCCCGTGAGCCATGGCCGCTGAGCGTGCGCGTCCGGAGCCTGTGCTCCGCAATGGGAGAGGCCGCAACAGTGAGAGGCTGGCGTACAATCAATCAATCAATCAATAAATATAGCATGGCAGTATTAATGCCCAATTAGTTCTGTTTTCTAAATCCTAACAGCAAAGATTCAGTTTAAAATGTAGGCATTATAATAAGCGTAACACTTACATTTGTACCTTAAATCTTGAGAGTGAAAGAGTTTCATATTACTGTATTAATATGGTCAGAAATTTTCTTACCAACAGGTTCTGAAAGTTCCATGCTAACAGCTGAATTTGAACCTAGACAAGAAATTGAGATATAATATATATTTACAAAATAGTATCTAGCTTTACACACCACAGACAACTTAATGTTTTCTGAATTAGATGTTCAAAGAGTCACATCATAGAAAATTACCTTCACACAACAATGACTGTTCCTCTTGAGAAGGTTCCACAGGTGCTGTTTAATAGAAATAACTTCTATTAAAAATTGAGACCTATACATCCATTTTACTTATCTTTTAAAATACAGGAAAAATAGGGCTTCCCTGGTGGCGCAGTGGTTGAGAGTCCGCCTGCCGATGCAGGGGAC